TGCCTGCCAGGTGTCTTCACTCTACAATTACTGGGTTTCCCTTTTTATATTCTGTTCATTAGAATCGAGTTCCTAAGTCCAGTCCACACTCAAAGAGAAGGGAAGTAAGCTCTACCTCCTGGAGGGAGGAGTATCAAAGAGTTTAGGCACATAGAGTAAAACTGCCACAGTAATAAATACATTGGAGGAGATAGTTTGAGGCTACACAGATCTCCTGTTTCTCCATAAAGTTTGCCCACTAATTTTAAGCATTCATCAGTGGACCTTGCCTACAGCAGTTATTATAATGTTGTTCTAATGATGCTTTTCTATTTCCCTCATTCCTTCCATGTTTAATTGGAACGCTACTTAACGAACTCTTCTATGTTTAATTGTGGAGCTCTTTCAAATTGGCTCCTGTGTCCTTTTGACATGGTGCCCTTATTTATTACTTTTTTTTTAGTACTTTTTGGCACTCTGAGTTCGTACCGATATCGCTGACTGTAGTCCAGCCCCAGAGGGTTCGTTCTAGCCTTCCCAGCCTCCTTATTCCCCACCCACCTTTGCTTCTTCATCACTTCTTTCTCTGACAGTGAGAAACCTGGCTCTCTTTATCTATAAATATGTATCCCTATGAGAAACAAATTTACCAAATAGAGCACAGTGTTTCTGTACAGTTTTTTTATCTTTAGCCTTGCACTACCTAAGACAAAGCACTGATTTTCAGAGTTAGTTATTTCGGTCAGCTCCTTTATTCCCTATCCCCTTCAGTGATATTATGTCTTACTTTTTTCTGTTTGGTTGGTTTTTTTGTTTTTGGTTTTTTTGGTCTTACTTTGTAATACAGTTATATTCATTTGTCCCCAGCCTATATTCCATCATGGGTTCCCAGAAAATCCTGGCTTTTTCAAAATTTGCATGCAGTAAAGTCACTCTTTGTAGTGTACAGTTCCGTGGGTTTTGACAAATGCGCAGCGTCATGTATCCACCACCCCAGAACCAGAGAGAATAATTCTATCACCCTACTACGTCCCCTGTGTCCCCTCTGTAGTCAGCCCTTCCCTTTAACCCAGTTCCTGGGAACCACTAATCTGTGTTTTGTCCCTATAGTTTTGCCTTTTCCCAGAATGTCACATAAATCGAATCAAATAATATGTAGCCTTTGAGTCTGGCTTCTTTCCCTCAGCAAAATACATTTAAAATTAATCCACATTGTTATATGAATCAACAAGCAGATTTTAAGGAAACTATACATCTGTTTTAATAATGGTGGTACAGATGATTCATATTTGAACCACAACAATTATGTCTTTAGGTATAATTAAAGTAAATTATAGGTTTCAATTAAGCAAATGTGCATAGTTACTTCCTATAAGGTAACTAAACAGTGTAATAAATCGATAAACCATCAGCAGTTTACAAATAAAAGCAAGAATAGCAGCCTTTGAAAACCATGATCAACACAAGATACAGTAATGTATAATAATAATGGAATCTTCTTGAAAACTATAGATGTTACAAATACCAGTTGGAGGCTATGTGAAGAAGGTGCATTGAGTATGAGCCACCATCCTAATGTAGAATTAAGACTTCTTAGAAAATTCTAATACTGATGAACACCCATTTTTAATAATCCTTACTAACTCAAGTAAGTTACTAGTAAATTGCTCTAAGTCTTAGGCAAAAATAAAGTCTATTGCTTCTTATTCATCAGCACTAATGAAAGAACCCACAGTTTTAGATTAATTTATAGTCCATCAGACAGCCCTCATGGTCCATCAGTGAACCTCAGACATACTTTAAGGATCACTGAATTAGAGGAGGGATGGTTAGATTATATTTCCTGACTCCCCATGTAACCGATCACTTTATAACACTTTTAATTTCTGAGTTAGAATATTAAACAGTACTGGACTCTGTTGGCCTAGAGTAGGCATGGAGCTCTTTTGGTTAATAGTGACTGTGTCTGTAACTACAAGGTCCCTCCTGGAAGCAACATCTGTAAACCTCAGTGAATTTGTGAAATAACCTCTTCTGGTAAGAGGCTTGCAAAAGGAGAGTCAGGGCAAGATGCTGACCAAATAAGATGCTCCTTGTAGCAACATCAGTTACAAATGAGAACTCTTAAGAGCCATCTGTAGTAATTTGGATCTCAGCTCTTGTTAGAAACCTCAGTTGCTACAGACCTCAAATAGTCTTCCCATTGGGAATGCAAGATAACTACGTAGACCCCGTCTGTTACCCACAAACCATCTCTAGAGTCTAAACAAAACCAACTCAAGTAAGACTTAAGAAGGAAGGGATCGTGCCTATCTAAAATGCACTGCTGGGCCGGCCGAGTGGCGCGATGGTTAAGAACTAGCTTGGGATGCCAGAGGGCCCGGTTCGGATCCCACATATGAGGGCCAGTGACACTGCCCTCCACAGCTAAGATGCTGAACAACAGCTCAACCTGGAGCTGGGCTGCCATGAGTTGCCTGCGACGGCGTAGGCTGCAGCCCCTGTGGCAGTGGGTTGCCATGGGCTACCGTGTGTAGCCAGCAGCCAGCGTGAGCGGCCAGCAGCCGCTATGAGCGGCCGTCCAGAAGCCGGTGACTGATCTGCCTCGCCCGGGAAGAGCGCAATGATGGTGCCAACTTGGGCCAGTGAAGCAACATCCTCCACAACTAGACTGAAGAACAAAACGACAGCAACTTGTCTGTCCCCCTTCCCCCAATTTCCCAGCGCTGTTCCCATCCCCCCAATTCCCCAATTAAAAAAAAATCTTAAAAAAAATAAAAATAAAAAAATAAAATGCACTGCTAATGGAATGTTTTGCGTCAGGTTTAGAATTGTCCATGGTATGAGTTTTATAGCCTTGTAACTATGGCCAGTACTCTTAAACTTTAAAAATAATAATAGTCCATTCCACATACTCCTTTGATGTGTTCTAGCAGCAATTTCATGGACTACAGACTCATCGAGATGCAGAATATGAATTCAGATAGCAGTGTTAATAGCAGACCTATGATTAAAACTCGAATTTGAAAATGCAATGACAGTTTAATCTAGAATATCAAGTGGCACGGTGCTCAATAACTACAAATTATGTTTTAGAGACACTGAAAATTGTGGCAAACCGTGTTTTAAAAGAATATACAAGTATAGGTACTAATAATAAAACACCTAGAACGTTAATGTCTACTTTTTAGTGTTTGACATTTATTTTTAGTCAAACAAATTGAATAACTATTTGAGTAATATCTTTTTTTCTCAGTTGCAGATTAACTGAGCCCCTTATAGACAAGTTACTTATTAACCTTCCCAGAGACAGTCATGGCTCCTAATCTGAATGTATTATCTGCTCATATGGTTGGTCAGATTGCTCTACCAAAAGGAAGAAATGAACCCATCCGTGCCCATCTGATGCAAGAGCCTAGAAACATCTTTAAATGGGACTTTTAAAAAGAAAGGCCACGTGATGTTTCTCTTAAGAACTTTGTTATGATAAGGCCAGGTTAGTAAACCTTTCAAAGTGTTATTTCACTATTTTATTTTCCCATAGAAATAACTTAAGGGGCTAGCATTCAAGTGGCCTGTGTAACTGAGTAAAACTGCTTTGATTTAGATGTATTTTCAGGTTAGTCCCATTAAGAAATTATCCATATATTTCAGGTCATTTCTCGGCACACGCGGGAGCTACTGGGAATTGAAGAGCCATTATTTAGACGTTCCATCAGCCTCCCCTATAGGGACAACATCGGCTTATTTTTAGAGCAAAAAGGTCATACTGGGATAAAATCGGATTCCTTGACCTTATCTGAATTTGTGCAAGTGGGAGGACTACAGGATTATAACCCACAAATAACTGCTCCTGAAGAGAATGAAGAATTGTATTGCACTGAGCCGTAGGGGAAAGTCATTACACTTGGCTTGAAACATCAAACTAAATTACTTGGGAGAAGAAGTATGGTCTTTTGGATTGTTTTTGGTTTTTTTTCTCCACTTCATTATGGATCAGAGTTAGAGCTGCTGGCTCTATTCCTAGTTCTATCGCCGACTCACAGCACCTTTCCTTTATTTGTGTTTCAATTTAGCCTCTCGTTAAAACAAAGACAGCAATATTTCTCCTTCCGGGTAATTGTAAGCATTCCTGATAAATTCTAGAACTGCAGCTGGTAGTAGGAACGTGTTGGAGAAATAGAATTAAAAGTAAAATCTCCTGCCAACCCAGATAATCCTTTCCACAAATGCAGAAACAGAAGCAGTTTTATTACTGAATCAGTATTAAATCAGTCTGCAATGCACATCACAGGCGAGCCACTAAAGCAATTGCAAAGACAAGGAACTAGCACCCTTTTATATAGCCAGATTCAACCCATTACTTACACGTGCTGTCTGTATCCAAAGGAAAAAGAAAACTTCTCATACCTCTATGACAAACAGGAAGTTACTGCTTGGAGCCAGGCACTTACCTTAAACTCCCACAGATTCAGGAAGACAAGGTACCATCCACCTGGATGCTCACAATTCAGAAATGGCGCCAAGGTCCCCCAAAAAGACAGTCCTGGGGTAGAAACCTGGCAGAAAGCTTATTCGGCTTTTTAAAAGATTTACATCCATCTCAAAAACAGAGAAACATGACTTACAGTACAACTTTTCTAAAGAAAATGTTTGGAGAAAAAGGAAAGGGGAAGTTCTTTTTTCCTTTTGGCATCAGGGAATAAATTTTTAAATAATTTTTCAGATTTGTATTTATCCTTACAAACAGCATGGCTTATGGAAATACTATTGACAATGGAGTATGTGGTACTCTTTTATGTGGTACTTTACAGACCTTTCTTTATACAATGAAATTCAGGGGTGGCTGGTTAGCTCAGGTGCCTAGAGCACAGGCTCATAACACCAAGGGTGCCGGTTCAATTTCCATGTGGGCCAAGGAGCTGCGCCCTCCACAACTAGATTGAAGACAACTACTTGACTTGGAGCTGATGGGTCCTGGAAAAACACACTGTTCCCTAGTAAAAATTAAAAAAAAAAAAATTAAATTCAGGCCAAAGTCTACCCACGACTGGACTGCTCAAAAGAAATTACAAAATACTTCTTGTTACTTGAATAACTCTAGTTCTCTAGTTTTACAGATTTAACTGCTCTTTTTCTTCCCAATCTCACTTCTTAATCCTAAAAACCACCATAAGACATAATCCAAAAGGGCAGTGATATACCCTGTCCAATTCCCTACACCTGAATGGTCAAAGGAACACATTTTATTTTTCTACTGAGAGAAGGAACAGTGCCTCAAATTAGCATTCATACCGAATGTTAATATTTGATGATGAACCTAATTTTTGCCCAAATTGGACTAACAAAATTTTATCTCAAACCATTTAATACCATTGAGTTTGCCTGGCTCACAATTATGCAAAAAAGAAAAATGTAAATGAGTAACCTAAGACTATGGTGGTCTACTTATATAGCGAATAGTTTTGTTCAAAAGCACTTGAGCATTGAGCACAAAATGGTTCTGTTCAATGACGGCACAGTCAGTGTCACGCTTCCTCCACTTGATGGTCACTGCTGTTGTTTTCTACTCTATATAACTGACACAAAGTATTTGCAAAACGTAAAGAAAATACACTGGCACTGTAGGAATAAGATCCACATTTTACAAAATTATTTTTAGCCATTTAATATACCAGCTACTTTTTAAAATGTTTTTATGGTTTAAGAATGCTTTAAATGGAAAGAGCTTTAAATAAGATCATACCAGAACAACAATATCTGAAATAAGCTTAAAATAAGTCATAATTAAATTGTTTACCACACATTTTATTTCTCTATCTAAAATGGTAGGAAAATCAAGCTGTATCATCGTCAGCTACATACTGCTATAGGAAAAGAGGCTGCAGTATGTAAGTGTCTAATAATGACATTATAACTTCCTGAATTTAGCTTTTACAAGAGTTGGAATTTGTATTAACAAGGCTTTCCTGGGGAAGTAGCTTGCTTACGTGTGTCAGGTTATGTAGTTTCATTTGGTTGCTTCCAAAAGCCAGACACACAAATATACCAATATCAAGGACCTCTTGTGGCGTTCTACATTTTAAAGAGCCATCATTACAATTTTCTGATTTCTTAGTGCCTAACACTTGGCAAACACCATACAGTCACATGACTCCCACCATCCATTGTGATAAACAGGGTACAACCACTGATTCCTGAGGTCTTCTCTTATTGGGATGGAGAGCCCGTGAAAACCACTGGCTGTTGTTCTTTGGTTAGGGAGATGCCAAATGAATCACAGTATAGATGCATAAGGTGGTCCCGGAGAGCAGTGTTGCTTAAGAGATGCTTGCTAAAGGGCGTTTCCCTGAGTTGCACAGCAGTCAGCTCAAACCAAGGGAAAGACCTGGGGTGAAAAAAAAATTTATTTAAAAAAAATAAATTATATATATATATATATATATATATATATATATATATACTGTTACTTTTTTGTCTGTTCAGTACATCTGATTTGGCTGTAGACATTTCCTTTAAGTTTTCCTCTAATTGGAAATAAGGTTCTTTCTTTTCTATATCAAACTACATAATTAAAATGCATAGTTAAATTTAAAATTCAGCTGAAACTATTCAATATGTGGATTTCGTTGTACTTATGATGAGTTTTCACACTTATGTACATTTCTCTAAGTGCTTTTGGGGAGGAATTCATAATTAGAGAATGATTATAATACTGACATTGACATCCTTTTCAGTATATTTTCCTTTTTAGAAAGAGAATATGTAAGAGGATTGTGGACATTAGGAATGGAAAAGATCTCATTTCTTTTAAGATCTCCTCTTAAAAAAAATATCCTCTTCAATTCTATAGGGAAAGAAGTAGAAGTTAATATATCCATGAATATCTTGCAAGTTAGCAAATGATTAAAATCACATTTCAAATTGGTAGGAAAAGGACTGGCTACTCTATATGTAGTGTTAGTTTAGAAAGCCAGTTCTAAAATGAATAAAAGTATTGAAAATTCAAATTGATTAAAGATTTTCATATATTGAATATAAAACCCTGGAAGAAAATATAGAATATTTTGGGATGAACGCCTTTATAAGTATGACTTGAAACACTAAAGATATAAAGAAGTAATTTGACAATTTTTACTATAAAAATTAGAATCCTCTGAAAGATACGAAAAAGAAAGAGAAATAATATGAAACATATTTCCAATACACAAAAAATATTCTTACTTAAAACCTTCTACAAAACAATAGATCAAAGCAAACAACCCAAATGAAAAATAAGCAAAGAAAATAAAAGGAGCATGAGAGAAAACACAAGAGCAACAAGTTTGGAAGCTGTAAAGAATATGTACAAGTAATAACACTGAGCCACAGCAGTGTTAGAACCCACAATAACTCAGGAAGCAGTGGAGCCAAGTACATCTGGAAGTGGTGGTAAGATGGGGCTAATAAGAGGGTGATGGGTTAAAAATCTTAAAAAGAAGCAAGACCCTCCCAATACCCTACCTAATTAATGCTGCCCAATCAGGAGACACTCCCTCCGCCTCCCCAACAGAGGGTTTCTTCTCTGGAGAGGATTTCAAACAGAGGGTCTCTGGACAGGAGGATAACAGGCACTGTTGAGGGCAAAGATATGCTACAAAGGGAGGAAATAAAGTGAAAAAATATAAACCGAAGGATAAAACCAGCCCTCTCTCCCTACATACACAGAGCTTTCTTTCCCCAACTTGGGTCCCACAGACTTAAAGATACCAATATTCAGGGTTTCCCAAAGAAAGGGCTGACCAAATCACTCTGTAGTGAAGGCCACAGAAGTGAACAGAATTTCCAAGCAGCTTTTTATGGTCAAGGATCTTAAATATAAGCAGTCAAGGTTCTCCATATACTTGACAAAAGCCTCCTAAAATGAATGATAGAGACCAAAACTAATGATCAGAAAACAACTTGGAGGAAACAGACTCCTCAGAAGAAAAAATAAAAACTCTATCATTTATGTTCTCAAAGGGATAAGAGATGGTATTGCATAGTGAAATGATAAGAGGATGCTACGTAAAAAAGGAATATTTTGAGACTAAAAAAAATCTTTGAAAATCAAAATATAGCAAAAATGGAAGTATACTCAAAATATGATACCAAAAACACAACAGTTGAAATCTCTCAGAAAGCAGAGCAAAAAGACAAAGATACTGAAAATAGGAGAGAGAAATAAGATCAGAGGATTAGCCCAGGAGATCCAATATTTGGCTAATAAGATATTCAGAAAGAGAGAATAGAGAAAACAGTGCAGGGGGAGGAAATTAGCAAAGACATAATTGGAGAACTTGACATCCAGACTGAAAAGGACCACTGAGCTTTCTGTTTCTTTTATGGGTGGCAGTTTCTTGGGTATTTGATTTACCATAATTCATTAAACTGTATATTTATGAATTTATGGAATATGTACTTTTCTGTGTATGTGTTATATATTACAATATCTTTTTAAGAAAAAAAAAAAAGGAAAGGCCTACCAAGTACCCAAAACAGTGAATTAAAATAGACCCACGTCATGACACATCATAAAATTTCAGGATACTGAAGGCAAAGGATCCTATAAGAAGCTTCCAGAGAAAAAAGAAACAGGTTTCAGACAAAGGATGAATTCAAGAATTAGAATGGCACTGTACCTCTCAATAGTAACTCTAAAGGCTGAAAGGTAGGGGTGGCCATATAGCTCAGTTGGTAAAAGCAAGAGCTCTGAACAACAGGAGAGCTGGTTCAATTCCCACATGAGCCAGTAAGCTGCACCCTCTACCGCTAAGATTTGTGAACAACAGCTCTACCTGGAGCTGGGCTGCTGTGAGTGGCCAGCAGCCAACATAAGCAATGCTTTCAAAATTCTGAGGGAAAATTCTTTCTTTTTTTTGAAAAGATTTTATTGGGGAATTGGGGGAGGGGAACAGTGTTAGGGAATCGGGGGAGGGGAACAGACAAGTTGCAGTCCTTTTGTTCTT